AAAAAAAAAAACCTGTCTTGTCTTCTCGTCTTCTTCAAAATAGACGATCTTTGGTTACGTGCTTACGTCAGTTAGACGACGTCCGATGACCGGAGGAAAACGAAGGGAATATCCATGCGGCGGGCTGGTCGGTGAGTGCTGGAAGACAAGTGGACTGTCATGGACAGGACGGCTGTGGTGAAGGTCGGAGCTGCGGCCAGCGCCAGCGTCTGTGTTTTGGTCGGCGGCCTAGTACTGACCCAATACATCGTCGCCAAAAAAAAGCGAGCTGGGAAGAAAACCAAGATCATAGAGATGGTGAGTTATCTGCAATCCGGCAACTGCGTCTTGAAAACTAGCATAGGTAGACAACGAACAGGAAGTGGGAGTGAAAGGAGCTTCAGTATAATGCTACACTGGCCTCAGTATGATATGGCGCTTTTCGAAAGGGTAACATTTATTTTCAATGTCAGTAACAAAAAATAATGAACGCGGTTTATTTGCTAACTTGGCAGTCGTAAACGGTTCACTGCGCATGCGCATTAATTCTAACAGCAGCTGTTTTTAGAGGTCACAACAAGCCAGTTTTTACTGAAGGGAAAGAGCTTTCACTTCTTCTGTTTTATCTCCTCTGCTCTGACAACTGACCTCAGTGTCAGTGATGCCTTCTACCATTCATGCACTGTCCTGAAAACAGCTTCATGTTTTTGTTTCAAGCAGCTTTATGCATGAATCCAACCATGTTTATGCAAATAGCTCTCAGTGAGAGCTATCCATCCATGTACTGACAGCCTCTCAGTACTAACTGAATTGGATTGGACATAAACATTTCATACATTTTGCACCTAAAGATCTTTTTTATTGCACCTTTTTACTGAAGGTAGCATACACTCTAGGTATCTGTATATTTGCTTGTTCATGTTAAAACTAACATCTATGAGAAATGTTATTCATATTCCTTTTGGCTGCTTCCACTCTTCCCATCCTCTGCTACTGTTCTGCCACCATTATCATACTGTACTTTTCTTCTCCACTCCCACCCTCATCTTTTCTTTTTTTTGGTTCAAACTATTAAGGGTTTGCCTTTTGCATATTTCCCCAAAGCTTTAGCTTAAACTTATAATCACTTCCTAATATTTCAAATGCCAACCATTTAAAATCATAACTCGTTTTGCTACCATCATAAACCTTCCCTTTTCACAATCTATATGATTCATTCCTGGTATTTGACTGCACCCTTTTCTTCACCTCTGTCACACAACTCCCGTGGCTTTTGTCAAGAAATTTCTTAACTTTAAAAAGTGATTCAGAAATATAATACATGTGTATATATTAACAATTAATTCATAGCTGAAAAAAAAATGACATATCAAACTTTTATCTAAATTTTAGCAAGAAAAGGTTTAGCTTTCTTAGCAACTTACCAAACATACACATGCAAGCCTGTTGGGTACGATGTAATATATTCAATAAAATTTAACTTTTATTTCATATTTTGTAGGTGTTAGTGGAAAAAAAAAAACATAGCGAAAGGTGCTGGAGCTGCTGTGGACAAAATGTATTTTTGTTACCAAGGCAGTCTTGTTCATGACCTTTTCATGATTTTTTTTGTGTGTGTTTATTTTAGTTTTATTGAATCATAATAACACATTTAACAACACATTTTTGTTGTGAATCCCACGTATAGAAAAATAAATGTGAGCTCAATGACTTTGCGTTTTTACAACTAGTTTTATGACCGTAATCCCAATAAATTGAAAAAATAAATGTCACATTTTAAGAAGAAATCAACAAACTTTTGTGTTCTAATAGTTTTAGGTCAATAACCGTTTCTTGTTATCCCCCAACTTTCTTTTTCTTGTGTTTTTGCAACATCAAATTGTGAACTCTGTTTGAGAAACCTGCCAGTGTGTGACGGTTTCACGTTAGCATTTCTCTTTTGTTTAAGGTCAGCAGTTCACACAGGCACTCCTTCTTAAAACACTACTCTTTTGTTAATTGTATGAGATCACTGTGACCTTTGACTGCTCGTTTTTATTGGCAGAATTATCTGTAGGAACTCTGCTCGTAATTTGCCTGTTTGGGATGTTACATTTCTGAAGCATAGATGTTTCTTATCACCTCTAAAAGGGATGATCAGAGACATTAAACTGGTTACTGTGGGTCATGACCTATGATGGTGGTGCCATCAGAGTCAGGTGAGCAGACCATTAGCTGACTTCTGTGTATTCAAAGCGGTACGAGCCAAGGAAGCTTGTCAGTTGACTCCTTTATTTTCATGCACTTTAGCTTCATTAACGGAGCCGGTAGATTCAGTTCAGTTTATTTATATAGCACCAAGTCACAACTGAAGTCACTCAGGGCACTGAACAGAAACATTCATATATATAAAAACAAGTTAACATTATTTAACTGAGGGGCAGACTGCTTTGAGTTTAACTCCATCACAGACTCTCATCTTGAGCATGAAGGCGACGGTGGAAAGGAAAAACTCCCCCATAAGGAAGAAACCTTCAGCAGAACCAGACTCAGGACAAGCGGCCATCTGCTTCGACCAGCTGGGTTTGAGAGGAATGGGAAGGAAGAACAGATACACAATGGCAGATTGAGAATCACATGTTAAGATAAATAAATAGTATCGAATGAAAACTTCAATTGTAACAATTCATTTAAAGAAATGAGGTCAATTTGTCCTCCAGTAGTCTAAGCATATAGCAGCATAACAAGCCAACCCTAATTATAGGATTTATCAAAAAGGAAAGTCTTAAAACTGGACAATGTGTCAGCCTCACGGACAGAAACTGGAAGTTGGTTCCACATGAGAGGAGCCTGATAACTGAAAGATCTTCCTCCCATTCTGCTTTTGGAAACTCTAGGAACCCCAAGTAAGCCTGCAGTCTGAGAGCCAAGTGCTCTGTTATGAAAGTATGGAACAACAAGATCTCGAGTATAAGATGGAGCTAGGTTGTTGAGAGCTTTGTAGGTTAGAAGTAAGGTTTTGAATTCAGTTCTGGGCTTGACCGGAACAAAGGAGAGAATTTAAAACTGGAGAGAAATAATCTCTCCTACTAACTCCAGTGAAGACTCTGGCAGCAGCATTTTGGATCAGCTGAAGACTTCAACGATTAACTTGAAGATGTTCATTAAGTCCAAAATTTTTCCAGATGAAATCCAATAAATCTTCTGCCTGTTTTCATGTAAAAATCCCTTTTGCATTAAAACAGAAAGTATTTCTGTGATCTTCACAAGCCCGAGTTTTTAAAACATCTAAAAGCTGCTTCATCAAGCAAGAAGTTCTTTGACGTCTCTGCTCTTTTACTAATTCAGTTTTCTGGTTAAAGAGGTAAAGTGGAATGCAGTAGTGACCGACTGCAGAGCAGAAATAGTTTTTTGTTTCCCCCTCAGCATGGAAATTTGTGACCATCTGCTTTTAATGCAGTTTGGTGTTGTGGACAAGCAAAAACATTCAGACGAAATTCCAGAAGTCCAATAAAACCCAGAACCGTCTACAACACTGCAGATTTTTGCTTTCAAACTCTTATGTGTGCTACAGTTTTCAAAAGACAGACTCGGGTCATTTAAAAAAAGATTTAATCCAAGAAAAATAGTGCGTTAGTTGTTTTTCCCCCTTTATGCTAGGAATTTATTCTTTTTTCCTGCTTTTCATAACATTTTGTAGTTATCGTTCCACGTTTGTCTGTTTCCTCACACGTTCCACTTCAACAAGAATTACTAATAGAACAAAGGCTTATTTATCTGAATATTA